ATATATATTATGTTTGTATCAGTCACAAATTCTTTAATGTAGTGTGAGGAGCCTAAGGGAACGACGAAACGAGAGAGCGCTGTATTCTGTTTATTCACTTCACTTGGATAATAACTTCTAAAGTGCTGTGATGTTAGCAAGTTATACTTACCATGATCCGACGCGCTAGGATCCGCCCCATACTCTGTATAGTAAAATATATGTAGAAATGGGAGTTGTTACGTACGTTCGAAATGAATGTAAAATAAAGTATATACGGTAACGTTCCGATATTTTGAGACGATGATTTTCGATCTTTTGTAGATATGCGCAGATAAGCCTGGCAGAGGCACGCTACAAATTCATCTGGCCTAAAACGATTAGATACCTTTGCCACGCGATAAAAGATTGAGAAATCTGCAATATAGGCCGGATGGAATCTACATAGAGCAACCATCGCACAAAAAAAAATGCCCAATGCTAGTAGACGACTCAGATGTTTTGATCGTCTATTCGAGAGCATTGAATGTGCAGTCGAGATATGATTGGTGCATAGGGCCGTTGATTTTACCTACTAGATGTTTGACACACTCCGAATGCCCGTGATATGCTGCCCAGTGCAACGGAGTTTGCCCGTCTTTCTCTCTGACAGAAGTAGAAGCTCCCTGATTTCGAGAGCGAAGCGAAATATACCAAGCATGAGATTTTCAGTCAATTATATCCGGGTGGCTGATATACCTAACGATCCCTATGCCTTCGAATGTATCCTAGAACTTGGTGAATAACCAATAGAAATACCGCGATACAGGGATTGCATCGCACATTGAATGGACTGAATTCGAGTCAAACTGTGACGATACCGATGGTTCAACCACACTATACGCAAGATAAACACTGCCATGATACACGTTTGAGAATTAACACTAATAAAAACTCCAAATAGGTCAGAGCAACTTGTATAAGAGACAAACAAACCTTTTGCAATAGAAATAATGTCGTCTCTACCCTCCCTCTGCCTGCTGCATCATGAAGCGCAGTTTCGTGATCGTCATCCTCGGCATCTATATCTGCGCCATGGTTGAGTAGAAGCAAGGAGCACTTGGTGTGCCCTGCAGGTATTTAGAACTATTTGTTATTGATAGCCACACAACAGATATAATAGTATTACGCAAGCCTCAGAGGTGTATGTACAACATTTTAGGTCCTGCTTTCTCGCCTGAATGAGGTGTATTCAGGCCTGCCCCGCTAGTGTACAAACCAGGTGTGTCGTAAGACTAGTCTCCCAGGGATAGTGAAAAGCTCCGAATTCCTCGCAAGTAGAAATAATGAGTACAAAATTTGGAGACAGCTATAGGCGAAAACTGTACCACAAAAAGATTTTTGCAGGAACAAATGAAAAGAACCATCACAGCAGTCTCAGCAACAACCTTTGCAACACGATTTTCATTCAGACATATATACTCGTCTATATGAGCCGACGCATGCTCACACATAAGCGTGCTCATAAGAGATAGTACAACTCACCTTTATTGCACGCCCAGTGAAGTGGCTGCTCCCCTCGTTTTTGCCTGGCATTTGGGTCCGCACCCGCTTGTAGAAGTAGCTGTAAGCACTCGAACTGTCCTTTCTGAAGATGGGATGGGTAGGACAGCTATCAGTATCACTTCGAATTATGTATTCCTGGGGACGTTACCGATCAAGAAAAGATGATCTACTTTTACAATTAACCATTCTGTATTAAAGGTTAAAATTTCGTGCGACGTCTACCGCTAAGTGTATATTTCATCCGATATTAAAGTAATAAAACGTGTCTCACGAGGCTCACAAAACTGCATCGATCACTGTACAGATTAAGTCAATCGAGGTATTCACTACCTGAGCCCCGTCCATGAGGGGCGTTTCCCAGTTGTGGTCGCGCGCATCCACCTTAGCGCCTTGCACTAAAAGATAGCTGACTACCTGTGAGAGGGGTATGCATGGCAGGGTTATAAAGGGGCCTGTCTGCTAGCTTTGGTGAAGTACACGTGTTGTTATACGTTCATAAGCAATCTATAGTAGGACACGTATGGTTGCTATGTGAATTGGCCCACTACTGCAATCGTTGAAACTGCATATCACAACCATGCAACAATGCAATCGACAAATAATTATGCAATCTTGCAATTTAGCAAGGGATCGTGGGGTTCACAAAAATAAGCATATATTATCAACCTTTCGAGCCGTAAGTAAAACACCTGTATACTCGCGAAAGAAATCACATGTTCATAACTTATTAAACCTAATCGATGTCAGTACCGCGTGCACATACAAACAATGACCGGATGAGCAAACGTCACTGTTATCAAGATTGAGGATGCAGACATTATATAGCTCGTGCGTGGATCAGCACATACTGCCGAGATGGGCTTTAGAATTTTAAAATATATACAACTCATAGAGAGAGATACAAAATTTGAAACTGTATGATCACGTGCGCTCTCTACTGACTGATCACTTTTCATCATCCCACGGCCAACCCCTAGTGTGAAACTAAGTTTAACCCTATCAACACGAGACAAGTCTCAAAGCTTCACAAATTGTAGTAGGGCCATCAGACATTATTTCCAGTAGCAAACTTGCCTTATGGTACCCATTAGCAGCTGCTGAATGCAATGGCGTTCCTCCAGTTTTTCTATTTGCCGGGCAGAGAGTTGCCACGTTCACATTTGCGTAGTGTATCTAGGTTGGATTGAAGTTTTAGCTGAATCAGATGATCTCGCTTTCTGATGGTCATTAAAAATATGCTGCGATGATGAACGTTAAATCGGATGCTACGTTGCCCCATTCATATATATGTAATGAATTTCTGCTTTGTGATACAATTTTCTGATATGCGTGCTGGCAATACCAACCGATCATTCGAGCACAAACCAAACATGTTTGCGTATATCTTTTGCTTTGAGAAAGAAGGATTCAACACCATGTTTCGTATTCCATGATGATAGCAGAATCCCCACACCACTGTATGTTCATCGAATGCAACCGATGAACACGCAGATGAGATTGACTATGAACTGAAAAACTCATACGGAACAGAAATCCGATGTTTACTCCGCTACATCATCATTCAGCGTCTATTTTTGTCTTTGTCTAGTAGAAGAAATTAGAAATCAAAAAGAGATATTCGCTATGCTATGCACAATACCATACATTCGTATCAACTGACACGTATTTTGAGTTCATATAAACAGGTGCTTGTTTTGCGCTTCAGTTGCGCTATATAGTCCTACCTCCACCAAGGCTTGAACTGCTTCCAAATGACCATGCTGAGAAGTAACATGTAGCATAGTACGATTTCGTCGCGAAGGACCGAATTCGATCTTTGAATTGACTCCGATTCCCGCATTTATGAATCTTCTTATGCAATTGAGATGCCCTGGACGAAAGCCATTGAATAATAGTCAGTGTGTGATCTCCTAAATGCAACCAAAGTATCTGCTGTGGATTTTTATATATAACCTGAATGATTCAAATCGTGAATGAGAAGAATTAAAGGGTGGGTGCACTAAAGTGAAGTTCAATCGAGCTACACAATTTAACGATGGCTCTAGAGGAGCTTGCAATCCTGTTTGGCCTTGTGACGCCTCTATCTATATGAATGTACCTTTTTCGCACGCTATTAGCGCTGTATCACAGCAATCAGTCCTCTCGAACGTGAACATGATGTCTCCGATCACAAGATCATGTAGATACAACGCTATTAAGGTCTCATTGTCGATGCGTGCTTGCAGCTGTTGAACAAATGTTGAATAAATGGAGATGAGTCTTTAAAGGGCCAAGTAATTTAAAAACGAGGTATTTACAACTTATGGCTTTTATTTTTCAAAATTTGGGTTCCATGACCGTTACATCGGCCTTTTTGATTGAGTCTAAAAACAACCAATGGCTATGAATTACGCAGGTTTTATTTATTATTTATTTATTTTTTATCGTCAGAAGTTGTAGCCAGTTTCGAATGCCGGGTGCAATGACGCAAATCGCAATACTGTATGCAACTTTCAAGGGACGTATTTGTACATAGTTTTCTGTGTTCTGGAAGGCTATGATAAATTTAATAATAATAAATAAGATACGGTACATACAATCATACTCACTATTATACTATGGCCTTCCACGATGTGCCTCTTCCACTGGGTGTACACCTGCTGCTGTGAATCAGAAGACGAGCGCAACTTCGAGGCCCGTAACTCAGCACGCCATCGTTATCGTAGACACAACCACGAACGAAGTGGGCTGTTGCGACATCATGGCGAGAACGCAGGGCATGCACACCAACAAACGCAGCCAGATGCCCACATGGAAACAATTGGCCAGGGAAGGAACTATCTCTCGGGAAGGGAGGTATGGGGCTTCAGTCTGTTGCGATTGTATCGTTAGTCTTATCTACGTCAAACGTAAAGCATGATCAGCGCCTTTTTTGACACCGGTGAGATACACTTGGTCCACTATTTGATGTTGAATAAGCTGTGCCTGAAGAGAAAAATGCAGTACATGCAATCGAGTATTCAGTGCCGACTCTGATTCGTTCCATCTCTTCTTTGTGTGATCTGAGCACACTAGCAGCTTTACTTGTCTAATATAATTGTGTTGCACTTTCTTTGCTTTCTTCATCTTGGTAGTTAGGCCAATTTCAAGATGCCACCTTGACAGAGGCGCAACTTATGCGAAACGTTCAACTGCTTTGCATGAGAGAGCCTTTGCTACAGAATCAAACGAAATGGGGATCGATAAGCCATATATCGGGATCGGAGCCTGCAACAGAGCTCGAGTATGTTTGTTTCTTTTGCTCTAAATGTTCTGGTTGAACACTTCGGGGTTTTTCCCTTACCTTTGAAAAGAATATTAATTGAAGGCTGTATTCGCAAACTGTCGCGGCAGAAATTATATATCCTGGCAGTCTTGTTAATCGCATTCTTTACAATCTCTACCAAGGTGTGCAATCTGCTTGGAGCCCTACCAGAAAAATGATGTGATACAATACCTTCCCTGTTTTCAGTAAGTGTCCCACGACACGATAGCTTGTGAGTCGACGCAGGTTCCCTGGAGTTTACAATGGTCTTTATTGCTGCCTATGTTGATACCATTTATAGTTTTGTAGCCAACTCATTTTTGCATCTTCGTGCGCAAATAAGTAACTTGCAGAGAAGAATATTGGTCCGGTTATTATCTACTTGCAATAGTGCAGCTTTTCTTGAAACGATGGTAAATTGAAACTTACTTTGCTGCAGTTATTTTCATGCCGATTGTATCGATAACTGGTTCAGCAAGTCCCTGACATGTCCGCTGTGTCTGATTGAGCTATCTCCAAGCATGATGTTGAACCCGAATATTCCAAGCTGAGAAGCTATTTATGCTGACCAGGTGTGTGTGTCCGTCACCACCCGATTCTCTCCGTCTGCGAGAGAATCGCAGCAGATATACGGTACACACCACTATTGCTTCTTCTGGTTTAATATTTCGCTTTGTTCACCTGGACAATGTCACCAATGTGCAAGAGCAAAAAGTGCAGGTCAAGATTGCGCCGGAAACGTGTCACTGTGAATACGGAAGTACGTTTGAATGCGAAAAGGAATAAATGTACAGTTGGGTGTTCGTGATAAATTGTTGAATTGCAATCAAAACAAATTAAGACTCTGTTATGGCTTTCAAATTTTTCACTTTTAATTGGATTCTTTTGTCTTTTCAGTCTCTCTACTAAGCCTTTCTGACCCCACAGATGTCTCTAAAGAGTGAGTCGATCATGTACATGTGTTCGCACCGCCACAGTCACGGCGCGTTATATTTTTATTCCTCTCCATACACTGATCCTCTGCGAATAATATTTCTATTTATGTGACAAGAATAATTATATTGCTCCGTTTGTCGACATCAATTTTCTATTGTTGTGCTGTATTTTGTTCTTCGAACTTTATGCTTGGAAAGTGCTGATAAGCACCGGGCCGATAATTCGCTCTTACGTCATACGTAGACACGCGCTATACAAATTCGTGGTATACTATAAGTGGCTTCAACACCTCGCGCTTACAAGCACGTGTCAACTCAACGACTTGCACAGCTGGTGACTACACACAACACGACACGATTCTTTCCATACCTTATCAATAACCATCTACTCTCGATAGTATCTTGTGCATACAGCTCTTTGCACGTGCAAGAACGTCAACCGTACCTGTGGAATGCTGGGAAGCACTCAGCGCCTAAAAGCACCCGGAGGAAACGATCGCGCAATCGCTCCGGCGTATCCAAATGGTTGTTAAAATTTAGAAGCAGCGTTAATTTGAAGCAAAAACGTTATAAATTATCAAAATGTCAAGGTGGTCAGTCACAAGTTAAGGCGTCGTCATAGTCTTAGTTCTCTGGTAGGCCGTCCTGTTGTTTTCGTTGGCGAGTGCGACGACTTTTGGCCATAGAATGTGTGCCAGTAAATCAGTATTTCGTAGTTCCTTGACGCTGGCACAAGTTGACTGGTGGGCCTGTATCTGATATGACGTCTAATTGAAGCAAGCAGTCACGCTTACGCATTCAGGGCCTTGCATTAGAATCCTAGATGACATTTATACTGCAATAGATGCACTATATTGTATGGAATTAGATCCACTTCGATTACAAACAATAAGATCAACGCGCACGAAGACAAATACGCGCGCACACAGGCACTTAACAAAACTTACATCATAGCAGACTAATTTCACGTAGCTCAAAAATGTCTAGCTTAACCACTATACACACATGTTTTCACCTCCAGACCAAACCAGTAGGTGATGTATACTAACACTCCACGTTGCAGTACATAATAAAAATAATGTGAACTCATGTACACCACGGCGCAGCACAGCACACTGCCGCCTTCCCCCCACCACAACACCCGCGTTGTCTTTATCGCAGCATGAGCATGCCTCGGTGCGAACTTCGCGTCGACCCACCCGAAGACTTGAGCGCCAACGGTTTACCTCCCAACCGAGAGCGCGACGAAGAATCGGCTGCGAAACACTTCCAGAAGCGAAGCGTCTCGTCCCCAGCCGCACTGACCACCGTTTGGCCGTCGGGTGACATGGCTGTGTGTAGCACGCGCGAGGTGTGGCCTGTGTGGCGAATAGAATGTGAGCGACAAGTTGAAGTAGAGCCATGAAGTATTTTAGTGTTTACAAGAGCCCAAAGCAGTGCACCACTTTATAGGTAGGAATAGAACTGGCAATATGGCACATAGCTAAATGGACGAGGAGCGAGGAGCACAGACTGACAAGTAGATTTGGAGAAGCTGCATGTGGAATATTGAGCTATGCAGTAGACTTTTGAAGAGATGAAATGACAGATAATGAAGCAAAACACTTGTGGTGACCGGCGAACGGGCGTGGTGCAGATAGTAAAAAATATCACATAAGTATGATTTGGAGAAGAAGGAAAAATATACTAACTGCACACCACGCACAGTTCAGAAGCATCGCACTTGATAGCACAAAGCGGTTTACAATCACGACCCAACATAGTGGCATCAAACCACTAATTATACACTACATACCCGACAGTTCAGCAACTTTGGCCAGGCTAGGGTACTTCCAAATGCACAATTGGTTCTGAGAAAACCCATGCGACGAAACCAGTTCCCTGTGTGTCTTGGACCACAGCAACGAGCAAACCTGTGACTTCGTATCGATAGAGTTCGTCTGCACACCCGATGCACTGTTCCAGAACCTGATATGTCGATCTGCGGTTCCACCTCCACTCGCTAATAGCTTAGATTGCCACGGACACCAAGCAAGAGCTTTCACGGCCGCCTGATGGTCTGTGAGTTGGTACTGAGGTGTCTCTGTGCTTGCGTTGATGTCCCAAATGTTCAGTATATTGTCATTACCACCGCTGGCCAGTTGGGTGCCGTCCGGACTCCAGGCCAAGCCACACACCTCCTGTGCGTGCCCGTGCATCTGTGATTGAATGTGGTTCTGCACACGCACGTCGCTGTTGTGTATCACACCGCTGCGCGACCCTGAGCTCAGCATGTGCTTGTTCCATGAAAGAGAGCCTACAAGTGAAGAATGCCCCTTCATGGTACGAAGTCTTTTAACGTTTTCAGCATCCCAAAGCATCACCTCCCCGTCGTCGTTGCCCACAGCCAACACATTCCCCTGTGGCATCCATTGCACAGACGATACGTAGTTGTTGACGTCTGGCAAATCCAGGAGTTTGGTTATATCGGAGGTATCTGCGTTCCAAAGATACACAGTTGGGCCCAATGCAACTGCCAGTGTATTCTGTGTATCATGCCATGACAACAGGTTCAAATAGTAATCGTCCCGAAGCTCGGGTGCATCTAGGATCCGATCGGCTGTGGTGGGTATGACACGGGTCTGTTTCTTGGGTCTTATCGTCTGCTTGTTCTGGCTGTACAATACTTTGAGGTTGTTTATATAGCCCTCAGGAGGTGCCGGTGCCTTGTGTTTGAATGCCAACACCTTGGCCTCCGGACACGTTGACAGCGCTCCCTTCAGTGCGTTTTGATACTCGGCTGTGTTGGGTGAAACGGCTCCTTTTTCTTGATCCTGGTTTTCTTGGTGGCAAGTGAGAGAGAAGTGTGAATTCTCTATGTCCACACCTTTTCTAGACGGAATGAATCGGTCTCCTCCGGCGGTAATGGGTTGTACGTGTGAGGGCGTACGTCTAAGTGTTTTGGAAGGCGTGCGCCTAAGAGCCTTGGAAGGCGTGCGGTCAACGGGTGTGTTCGGTATATTGTTGGTGTTAGTACTGTTGTTTAGTTCACAGCTGGGTAGCGCCGTGGAGTTTGCCTGACTGCGTGGCACATATTGGCTGTTGTAGTTGACACTGACCATCTTTTCACTAGCAATATGCTGTACTGTATATGCGATTGTCGTATTGTAAATGATAATCTATCGTAAAATGGAATCTTCTTTTCTTTGCTCTGTGTTGAGTTCTGAAAATTTGTGTATTGCGATGATCATACACAGTTGACAGCAGCTCAGTTGCGATTTACCTTACACGATATATCGCAATTTACAAGTGTACTTACACAAGTGCACGTACTTGATTATGAGGAAGCGAGTAGTTCTGACAAAGATGTGCTGTGTATTTATCGCACATTTGCAGATAGTAGAAAATACCAAAGAGAGGAAAATAAGAATTTAAAATACATACAACCCTCGGGTCCCCGAAGCACTCACTCACCACTGTCACCAGTCAATATCTGCCTAAAGAAGTATGTAAAATTTTATAATATTCTCTCTATGAATATCATGATGCACTTGTATTTACAGTACATATGTATTTATGTATGTATACACAGCCAGGTTCACACAATGATGGGTATGATTTAGAGTGAAAGTAGAACTACTCAACCCATTCTGATTGGTTAGATTTAATTGGGCGGAATCAACCCATTCGCAATCGGCATACAGTACTTTTACCTACTCTTTGTGTGTATTTACGTTTTTGCCTTTTTTTGTACACGACTTCCTCTCGCGCACAGCTGCCATAGCATCCCTACACGGCTCACCACTGTCACCAGTGAACATTGACGCAAAAGCTACTACGTTCTACTAACGTAAAAAATAAACTCTTTCACACTCTCAACAATTATTTACACCCAGTTGGAATAAATAGAACCCCGATTACCGATACGTTTAAAATACTATTTTTAAAACGCAAAATAAAACGTTACATAAATATGTAAATAGTAACTTTACGTGATAGTGATTGGAACTTTCGAGTTTCTACCGGTACTACTGTTATTTTAAAATAGTGGTGTAGTTTCTTCTTTGCATTCATTCCACAACAATGGAATGCGTTGATAGTAACATTACAAATACGCCGGCAGCGGGGGAGGGCGCCAATGCAGTTGTAGAAGAGGTAAGTTCGACGTCAGCAAGTGGATTCAACAGAATAGGTATCGATATTTAATCCCTTCTGAACGCCCAATTTGTTCCTAAATATATTAAAAACAGGCTCTACTTCACCAACGTAAGAGAACAACGAATTTATATCGATCAAGGCCTACTTTGTTCCTATATATATATATATATA